CATAATTGAAACATGCATAAAAGTATCAGCAGCTGTTTGCTCAACAGTATATTCAACAGCTGATCTGCATGCATAAATTTGACATTATTGCCCTTCACAGCTCTGGTCACACTGCAGCCGAGAGAGCTGCGCAGGTGGCGTGTTGTTTACTCGCGTTTGACTGTCGCTAAGTCGTTGGCTGTGATTAGGTTTATATTGCCCAAATCCCCACACTTACGCACACATACACACACACACATTATGGCAAGCGGATTACTGGCTGGCAAGGTGGCATTCGTGACAGGTGCGTATGGCATAAAGCCGTCTTTGAGCGAACTTTGAACCCTGTTGCGCATTTCAGGCGCCGGCTCTGGCATCGGCCGAGCCACCTGTCGCATTCTGGCACGTGATGGGGCCAAGGTCATTGCGGCGGATCGCAATCTGCAGGCGGCGCAGGAGACGGCCCAGCAGCTGGGCGCGGAGCGTGCCGCCGCGCTCGAGGTGGACGTCTCGTCGGCGTCGAGCGTGCAGAGCGCCGTGGCCGCGGCGCTGGCCAAGTTCCAGCAGGCGCCCAGCATAGTGGTCAACTCGGCGGGCATAACGCGCGACGGGTACATGCTGAAGATGCCGGAGCACGACTACGACGATGTCTACAGCGTCAATTTGAAGGGCACGTTCCTGGTGACGCAACAGTTCGCCAAGGCGATGATCGAGCAGCGGCTGAGCGAGTGCAGCATCGTCAATCTGTCCAGCATTGTGGCCCGGCTGAACAATGTGGGCCAGGCCAACTATGCGGCCACCAAGGCGGGCGTCATCTCCTTCACGGAGGTGGCCTCCAAGGAGTTCGGCAAGTTCGGCATACGCGTCAATTGCATTCTGCCCGGCTACATAGACACGCCCATGGTGGCCGTGGTGCCCGAGAAGATCAAGCAGCAGGTGGTGCAGCGCTGTCCCCTGGGTCGTCTCGGGCAGCCCGAAGAGATCGCCGAGGTGATCGCCTTCCTCGCCTCCCAGAAGTCCGCCTACGTGAATGGAGCTGCCATCGAGGTGACCGGCGGCCTCAAGTGAATCAACAATAAGCGGGGGGAAAAAAAAGCTCTCGGATTGATAATAGCTCCGATAACGTTGCCAGTTGCATTTATTTGTTGTAATTCTATTATTAAAGAACATTTCGTTCTCTTTTTTTTTCTTCGTTAAGTTTTGTTGGGTGATCTGCTTGCTCGGCCGGCAGCGCCATCTAGCGTGCAGTTAGTGCAGCACAATTGGGCGCGTATTTTCAAATTTAAATTTGAATCTTGATTGCGAATGTTGAATTGTGATTTATGTTTACGGAGTTTGTTAATTAATCAGGATGACTTGAAATAAATAAATAA